ACAAATGTGTTTTCCTATCTTAATAGAGGTTAAATACATACTGCATCTAATATCAAAATATAACAACATACTACATCTAATATCAAAATATAAATTTTTTTCCGTACGATTAAGTTACTGAGAATCTAATTATGTACTGAGTATTTCAGTCAAAAATATAGTTAATGACAGAGGGAGTTTCCTCTCCACATTACGGTTTCACGAATGGTGAGAGAATTCATATCACTCAATAATTATTATTTCAAGATACATGGAAAAGAACAAAAACAGTTTTCTTTTTCGGTTAAACTTATAGATGTCACATTGTAGTTTGCTACTTACAAGATGCTTTCAACATTAAGTGGTTTTTTTTAAAGCAATGCAGAAATTTATAAATTTTACTTTATCGAAGTTAAGCAAGATTATGAGGCTTATTTTAGCTAACTATTTCTATGCTAGTCATTTTTCGTACCTCCTAATTCTTTCGTCAGCCTTTACCAGAATGCAGCTTAGTTTAAAGCAGCCAGAAAATTTGTAGTTTAGAGAGACTAATGTAGGAACCATCTACAATAGCATACTAGCCTAAGGTTCACATAGTCGACACAGGTCTCTCTCTATTTAGGACAGAGGTACCCGCCATGAGATTTCAGAAACAAATCCTAACACAATATGTAATAAACTTTCAGAAGAACTTAACGATGAAATCGGTGAATTCCCTTCAAATGCTGATAGCACTTCCAGGGGCACAAAAGCAATCAAATTATTTCCCCATTAGATACACTTTATAATTGAACTTTTGCCTGACTCTATTTGTAACGACTTTTTGGTAGTTAAAATTCTGCGAAAATAAGTATTCATATATTTCTACTAACCTCACCGTTTAATGCTATCAAAATATCCAGGACTAACGAGATCACATTAAGCGGCCTACTGTAAATAATTACGTTCAGTCTTATAAGGTTAACACTTAACCGTAAAACGGGAAAAAAATTAAACCAGATAGAAAAGAATAGGACAAAACAGGATGGAAAAATAAAGGAGACAATATTTAAGAAGAACTCAGAAAATTTTCGGAAAACTCCTGCCGCCATTCGTGTTTTATTGTTAAAAATTCTTCCATTAAACAAAATGAAGACACGAAATAAAAACACAGAAGATTATACAAAACAGAACGTATTAAATAACAACAAAACGATATTAATTTTGTTATTTTTTCCAGAATAAAATTCACAGAAACGTGCTTATTACGCAAAAAAGGAAATGAAGAAAAGAAAGGAAAAAGAAATACAGGTTTTGCTTTCTCACGATAAGAAAATAGGAGAAGCCCTCCTATAGCACAATAACACAGTTTTATTCGTTAATGCACGTTTTAACACTTTATGCATTTATTTAATATTAGGCACATCACCTTTTAACACTTTATGCATATACATGTCTCAATAAGGCAATTTTCGTTCTAAACATTTACAAAATTAAGTTGCATACTATGCCACCGCGTGTAGCGCACAATAACAAACTCTTTGTTGAAACACACAAAAATCAACTTAATTCCCGGAATACCCGCACTCTTTCACATTGAAATTGAGTCATGCGCATCGTTTGCACTGCACACATTTCATGCTTCAACCGCTCCGTTAGTAGATTATATAAATTATGCAACTGTAATTTTGAAAACATTTTTTTTTTTAATTTTGGGTATGTGTTACTTACTAATTAACTTTGTCGTTACCAGGAGTAATTATTGCGAAATTATATTTCGGTCTCTAGCTATGTTTAAAAATAAGGAAACAACTTTAAAAAAATTTCTTTGGAGATGAAAACACAAATTTTGAATTCTTTGCTAAAATGAGAAAAGACATCTGACGTTGCAAAAAGTTTAAATTTTAACAAGGCGACAATAATAATATTAAAAAAATCTGAAAGCTTCCAGATTTTATATTACGCCCAAAGGGGCGTTTATTTAACGTTTTGTGTGTTACCTTTATTTATTAAATATGATGCTCTTCACACTTAAACCATAAAATTCAATTCAACCGCAATGTCGCAAAGTAATTTAAAAAGAGCATAGCTTTACAGTTTCCGATACATAGTCTCACGCGCTGGAGATTAAAAAAAAATTCCGTACAGTATTGCCATTGCTCGCTTTGAAATTATTTGAGTTTTTTAATCAAAAACTCATAAATGCTTTACAAAATATGAAACAGATAATAAAACAAATTCCAAATTTTGGCTTGCAGATGCCTATATTCAGGTGGAGATGTACGTTATTAAAAATTTGATCGTTTTAGGTACCGTTGTTTTATCAGATTGCGAGAAACACATACATTTATATACAAATTCTTCATTATTTAATTTCATTAAAATTTAATTAATTTCTTTACAGGGCAATAATAATTGGTGGCAACAATTTGAAAAGTGATTCAGACTTTTAAAGTTTTCCACGAAAAATGCCAAAACGAAATTAATAGTCCTTCTAGGCTAAAAATATTTTGGTTTTAAAAGTTTTTGGAACGCGTTCCTTTGTTTTGAACTTGGTTGCTAGTCGTATTAAATAAGGCTTCACACAACATGGTATTTATACGGTATCGTGTTATAGAAGAGATACCTGTATATATAAATGATAAAACAGAAGAAAACTCTCGTACATGCAATAAAGATTTTCATTTTAATAATTAAAAATCACAAATTTATTATGTATAGTTAAATAATTATCCAATTTCAAAGCATAAAAATCATAAAACAACAGGGACAGGTAAATGTGAACGAAGAATCTTTATAGAATCTTTATAGAATAATGGAAATTTTTTGTAGTAACCGAGAAAATTTTAGTAGACATGTAATATAGCCAGATGTAATTTGTGCTCCTGCTTTGCAGTATTACAGCTCTATTGTCAGCAGTCTCAATAAAATGCTCAGGGTTTCTCTTTTCCCACATAGGCACTTAAAGTTATGGTTATCTGGGATTCTATTAAATTATTTAAAGAAATATCAAAATTAGGATCAAATAACCTTCATGTGAATTTCAGAGAAAAAAAAAAAGGTTTTAAATAGTAGTTAATCATGTAATCATGTATTTGAAAGCATTTTTAAGAACACAGAAATGCAAGAACTGTATTTACTATTACCAACAAGAAAATAAAAATGCAAAACCTAACAACAAAAAAGCTCTCAATAAAATCTAAAGAAAATAATCTAATCTAAAAGAAAATAATAAAATCTAAAGAAAATTATCAATCTAAAGAAAATAAAAATGCAAAACCTAACAACAAAAAAGCTCTCACAAAACTGCAAACAAAATACCAAATAACCAAAAATTCATAAAAATTGTTAACGGAATTCTTCCGAGTCACAGCGAGTATTAGGCATAAAAAATATTCAGTCCGTAAATAATTCTTATAAAAACACTGAAAAAAAGTTTTAGTTTTTTATCCATTTCTAAATAACGAAACTGACATTCTTTAGTATTGTATTACCTTTAAAACGGCAATAGGAGAGGTAAACAAACAAGTAAACACTTACAAAAACTTTGATACAACGAGTCTCTATGAAGAATTTTTGAATAAATTTTAAAACACAGGTATCGCCTCTTTCAACACGGTTTCGATCTTATACGATAAGAAAATTTTGGAAACCCTCACACAAAACGGCAACATAGTTTCATTTTCGCATATTAATGAATATGTCAGTAAAGTCTTGCCCAACACTTTACGTACGTGTATATTTCAAAAACACGAATTTTAATTTAAAATTAAAAAAATATGTTATGCACCATGCCATAGTGTGTAGTGTACAATGAAAACATCTTTATTTACCACACAATTAAATTCCGAGAATGCCTTGTTTCTCGAATCGAAATTCTTTAGAAACTGAGTCGCGTCCATTATTTACATAGTATGTATCTCGTGCTCTGATTATTCGGTTGGAAAATTGTATAAATTAGGTATCTGTGATTTTTTGGGGGGTACATGTCACAAATTAGCATTGCCATTTCTAGGGGTAAGAACTGCGAAAGTATATTTCAGTCCCAAATTAAGCCTCAAATTAGGAAAACAAATTTTAAAAGAAAATTTAATTCTTTCAATATGAAAAGAAAATCTTTCAATATGAAAACACAAATTTTGATCTGTGTTAAGAATGAGAAAAGCCATCTGACGTTGCAAAATGTCTAATTTGAATGACGCAAAACTGAGAACCATTAAAAAGTATATTTTGTTTTTAACAATTTTCAGAACTTATCCCTCTGTTTTGTATTGGATGTTAATCTCGTATTACAGGATATTTTGAAGGAACTATCTACTGTGTTATATAAAAAATATCTGCATTTCATATATTATTACCATTATAAAAACTATTTCGAAACCTACATATTAAAAAAATCCATTATTGGTTATATCAGCATTATATTAAAAATTCACCTTCTAAAACTAATTCAGAATATTCGGTGTAACGCGGTTAATATTTTACACTGTGTAACGCGAATTCAGAAAATGAGAATTTACTGCGACATTTACTACGCATTAAAAACACTCACACATCGCTAGAGATCACCATCAAATATAAAGATACAATGACAAAATATTACAGCAAATTGAAACATTTATACTTTTAAGAAATAAGAAAATCATATAAGTTTAAAATTTTTCATTTAAAAAAGTATTAAAATTTAAAATCGATCCAGAAATTATAAGCACAGTACGCATCTCCCACCGAAATTTCAAACGAAACTCCTCCTCCAGTATTCAAATATCGCGCACAAAACGAATTCTAAAACCACGACTTTTTCATAACACAACCGCGATTCAAAATAAAAATTCAAAAATAGTCATTAATTCATTTCATTCTGGTAACTTCGCGCCAGTCAAAAACCCTTAATATAGGTGGCGCTGCAAACATATGCGGGCGACGGCAACACAAGCGATATTTTTCGTCGAAGGATATAGGAAACAGATATGTGAAAACATGCAAAATTTTGAACAAATAAGACAGAAAAAAAATGACGAATTATTTCAAAAAATACTCACTTTGGTAAGGTGGACCAGGACTTTGCATCGTAGGCCTGAAATGCGGTGAAGAAGCAGGCGGAGGATTAGCGGACAGGTCCGGGTTTCCGCCGTGGTCCGGGCTCGAGGCTACATTGAAAACAAACGGAAAACCATCAGGGTTGCCATTTCATCCAAAACACACGAATGTCGCCAAGCGCTAGCGCCAAGCAAAAGCGATCAATAAAACACGGCAGAGAATAACACGGCTTAACTAAATATTTTCGCAGAGAAGTGAGTAATAATTTGTTTCTCCTGGAGAGCAACAACATTAACGAATCAAATGTGACATGCATGGTTAAATTTCATTTTGAAAAGGCGGATGGATCAAATGATTGCTGTCAGGCCAAGTCCTCGAAAATGAAATAAACACTTCCGATTCTAGTAGAAAGTGGTAATTAAGCTGTATTTAGTTCGTTAATTATATTCCGATACGATGTTTATTTTAGTCGATAAGGTAGAATGATGAATCTATTCACCTATCGTGTTCTATTAAACAAATTTATTGAATTTCCAAAACAACAGCGGCGTTGAAATGGATTGCTATGTTTCACACGCATCATAAATTTTTCAAAAGCTATTTAAGTTGTAATTCTTTTTTTACTTTTCCTTTTTAATCCAGTTTTCACTACGCGTATTTAGCATTTGAATCTTGAAGCTTTACTTCTACAAAAATATATTATTATTTAGAATTACCAATTGCAGAAACTGATTGTAGAATTAACTTTATTTTAATTTTATTTGAAGCTAAAAAGCACTTTTTTCACTCTAAAAATATCTAAAGCAATTCTACTTTCGTTTAAAAGAAGAACTTCCGTTTCTTATGATTTTAACATTTATGATATGTCTTTACCTAAATTCCATAAATTACCTTTTATGGAATCGACTTGTAATAAGTTCAGATCAATTCCATTCAGCTGATTATGAATGGCGAATACCTGGTTAACAGGTATTAATTATTTCACATTCATCATTCACTAAATTAATCTTGATTTTAAATAATAATAACCAAACTGATTATATTTTTATATTGCAATATAAAGTTGTAAACACATTTACATGAAAGAGGAATGAAGAATTAAAAATAAAATGCAATAGCATTAAAAATAAAAGTTCATAAAACCTACAGTTCGTGGAGTTCATACAGTTCGCTGAAACATTCATAAAATCGATCATACAAATCATCATAATGCCTTAAATTAAACCTTTACCCCTTATGCACATACATTAAAGTTACCGTGTGTGAGCTTATAAATAAAATAATGAAATTTTAAAGAAGTAAATATACTATTATCATATCCATATTTTTAAGCGAGATGGCAAATATCTTTTCCTGATGAAGAAAATAGATCCATCATTTTAAAAATTTTAAGAACAAAATATCTTTGCTATCTAATAATAATAATAAAGAATCTTTTAAAAGAAATGGCATTAGCAGAAGGAAATTCAATACGATATTGTTTTTAAGAGACATTCCATTATATATCTATCTGGAGATCCATATATCCACAGACACAATTATCAGTGTTGGGAAATCCATGTTTATTATAAAATGTTGAGAACAAACCATGTCCTGTTATATATTTTGATAACAGCAGGAAATAATAACTAAAGTATGATTAACAACACAAAAATATTAACTTAATTAAAAGAAAGCTTATAAAAATTCAATTTATTACACTAGCCGACCAGTAGTTAAGTGGTTAAACCAAGTGCACAGTATGAGACTTTTTTGGACTCAATCTAAGAGGATCTACATGGACGCTTTTGCGTTTTACCTCACGTATAACGTATACTTGATATATAGTTCACATCACATCATATACGCAAATCTAATGCCTATTTAGTTTGACAATTAAACACCACCTAGTTTTATGACTCTTGTAGTCTACCATGAAAAGCAGCTACATTAAAAGTAAGTAATTATTTTTACATTTAAAACACATCATTTATGAATATCTACAGTCAACAAGACTTCGAAACATTTACCGATAAACAAATTGCAGCATTAATTATTACACATAGCCTGTTAATATTAAACAGCAATAAGTAAGTTAATATGCTTACACTATTTATTATATTCTTTCACATTTTATTCCAATTACTACTACTACTACTAATAATAATAATAATAATAAGGGCAATAGTAATAACGACTCAAAAAGTATAACTGTATCACCTAGTGACATAAATAAAAACATTGATAACACATCTAAACACACAATAACTTTTCCTTTTGAAAAGTATCTGAATTTTAAGAGGAAAATGCATTTCAAAAACATCAAAAAACAAGATTTATCATAGAACAATAAATCAGAGAAATAAATAAATAAAAGGCAGAAATTAATTTCAAGAAATTACATGTTATATTTTATGCCTAATTACATGCATATTAATTTTAAATTAATATTACACAACGTACATTAATACTTATATTATGCAAACCAGCTTTTCAATTATGATGGTTCAATACCTTTTTTCTTTCTTTTCTATCTGAGAAACAAATCATTACACACTTTAGGGTAATTATATATGTTTTATTTATTTCTATTAATTTTTTTTTTTTTTTTTTAATTACTTTTACATATTTCCAACTAATTTAGATACCTGTAAAAGGGTGTTTTCTGTACGGCTAGATAACCTTGCTAAGAAAACAACATTACAGGGTTTGCCTAGTTTGGAAATCTGTAATCACGAATTAAATTTTTCATGCAAGCAAGCTCACAAAATTGATATTATTGATGTAATTTGCTTTATTTTATACCTATATGCTATACACATAGAGAATATACACAACTGATCACAAAAATGTCAAGATTCAATACGTAATTTGGTTAGGGATTTCTGAAAGTACCAAAATAAAAAATACGTGGGGAGCCTCATTTATTCGAAAAATGCAATATAAGATAGTTATCTTCACCTACTAGCAATATAACTGCAATTACTTATTCAAATAATATCAGTTATTCTTATATACAACACAACAGTGAGTAGACATTTGTTAAAAACATATGTAATAGCGAATATGCAAATTTTACGCAGATGGCCATCACGTGCAATATTTATTATTTATATACTACATTATTTAGCTCAGCGTTTCCCAGACTGCGCTGTTCAAAAAATTATGAAATTGAGATAATAATGAATCATTGTCCGCTTTTATGCATTTAGCACAGTTTAAAACAACTTCTAAAAAAAAAACATAAAATAAAGTGGTTTAAGTCACGAGCGTAATAAATTTAGTGATACTGCACAAACGTTGGCGCGAAAATTTATACGCAGCAAACATTTATGTTAAAGTTTCTGTCTGTGCTCAAAGCTGCCCAGCCGCTATCGATGATTGTCGTACCGATGATCCCAGGTTTGAATCCCTGAGAAGCCATGGTTGTTTATAAGCATATAGTGTCTGTACTACAAGAGGGTGCTTAAAATACAAAGCAAAAGTCCTCGCGAGTAGACGTGACTTTCATAGACGTGATCTTTCATAAACTTTGAAGGTAGTATACTTTTCAGAAATCATTCTTATTGAAAGACGACATATTTACTTCACAGTATAACGATGGAATAATAGGACATGTACTGGGAAAGGGCAGATGATCAGCAGGAAGCTGAGGATGACTATGAAGACGACATACAGCATAAGAGGAATGTTGAAGGAAACTGATCGTAGGACAGCAAAAAGTAATATGATTTCCCGATTAATGTTCATCTGCATCGGTACATGCTCTTATGAAGCTTTATTGTACTCGAAGTGAATTTTTAAAACTTTGGCGACAGTATCATAATACGCTGATATTTAACTTTATTAAGCCATCTCACTGAGAAATTCGTTACTTTCATCCGATAAAATATATCGTTATTTTAAAAGTTTAGCTTTATTTTTCAGAAATATAAAACCACGTATATGTGTTGTAGGTTTCTGTTCTAACTGGCAGCTCGTAATTAAGTTTTGCAGAAAGGTAGTTTAGGAGTCACATAAAATACATTACTTAGGCTGGTTCAAATAATTATCGGCGCATATTTTAAAACACTGGTAAGCGAAACGCTGAAGACAGAATATAGCTTTAAGCAGAGCTGGCGAGAGTAAATAATATGCGGCTGCCTGAAGCAATACGAACATTCAAAACTCTCAGCTTAAAAACTTAATTTAAGAAGATAATTAAAAGAAGAAGTTATAGTACAAGAGCTAAGTAAGGTTCTTATGTTTAACTAACCAGTTATTATGACACAAAATTATAAAGCAACAACGCTCTGTTTGGAGTAGATTTTACTCAAAACTAACGATTTCGAGGGCAAGCAGATACAAGTCCCTCTACATCAGCAGCAAAGATGCTCCTGATGAAGTGGGACTCGTACTTGTTTGCCTTTGAAATCGATAGAGTCCAGACTAAAATCCACGCCAAACACAAAGTTGTTGAATTGTTAATTTATGTTTTACTTTTCCATGTTTCTCTTCTCTCTTTCGGTTATTATGATTTTTAATTCTTAGTTTTTTTTTTTTTTTTTTTTTTTTTTTTTTTTTTTTTTTTTAATCTAGAGAGAAAGAGAGAGACAAGAGTTCCTAGCATTCGTGCTGCGTGGTTACATTTCTGCCAGCTCTAACGAAATGCAATTATCTAAGCTTTGTATGCTCTAGCAGGGGGGACTAAAAACTTACGCTGTAGAAGCATTAGGTTATTTTGAAACAGGAGAAAAATGAGCAATGCCTTCGCCGGGACTCAAATTTGGATCTCTCGAATACGCGCCGAGTGTGCTACCGTTACACCACGAAAGCATGCAGAAGGGGGGGGGGAGAAAATATTTTACAACGCACCGTTAGATTATTTTGAGCCAGATTGTAGCTTAGTATTTAACTGTGTAGCCGCAGACTGATGATCAATGTTTAAATTGATTTCACTATTCATATTTAATTTGCTTTGCCACAAGCAATGGTTAACTGCAGCACGAGGGGTACCTTGTTTTGTTACAATCTGAGTTCAATAAAGGGTATTTAAAACCTTCGTAAATCTTTGTCGTACTACTTAAGACACAGCACTAGAATGGTTACAGAATTAAAGTTCCAATATAGGCTAAGTATAACCTTATATATT